ATGACGAGCTACTGAAATTGACTTTTTAGTTTTTTTTGTCTACCTGAGATCGTAAACAAGCTAACCGTTACTCCATGGTTAATGGTAACTAACCTTTAAATATATAAGAACATCATACATGTTGTGTTGTGTGTTGTTTGTGTAAATTCCATTGTAGCCCCATGCTTTGTAATTCCAGGGCACTAAGCTGATTTGCTTCCAGAGCTCTTGTACTTTTTTAATATATAAAAAATATACAATGTCTGGTTTTGATGTAAGAACCGAGCCTATAGTATTGGAAGTGAAATGGCATTATAAACATATAAATTAAGTAACGAACTAAATCATATAAGATGGCGGATGTTATGTTAAAAGTTTGCAAATTAAATTGGCGCGCTTTTAATTAAGAAATTTCGCCCGTTTTATTGCGAGTTTATTGTTTTATAACGCCTGCTCGCATTCTTGTGTATAAAGGCGGTGTTAGACTGCTAGGTTTTTTTTTAATGTAAACATATTTTGTAAACTCGCTGAAACTATTTTTTACGAAGACCGATCGAAATTATCTTTTACGAACAAAACTAAAATCAAGTTTCCGCCGAAATTGCAATATTATTTGAATCAATATAATATCTGATCAAAGTTATCTTCCGCAAACAAAACCGCAACAGAGTTTCCTCCGAAATTGAAATGTTATTTGAAATTGCTATTTTCTTGCTATTATACTTACACAGTTGTACGTATAACAAACTTAAATAAATACATACATAATGTATTTATTTAACAAATTAGCTTTGTTGCTCGAGTATTATATATTTGTTTGTTTTAGCATGAATGCATAATGCATGCATTAATGTACATATGACGGACTTAGCACCTTGTAGTGTTATCTACCAGTCAACCATGAGTGGTGCAGAGAAAGATTATTAGCGGTGCACTAATATAAATGAGACATGTCAAAAATTACATACAAATTTCTATAAAAAAAATATTAATTGTAAATAGCATCATCAATTCAGAAGGTGATTTTTAGTATAAGGACTATATCCATTTTGCAAGTAGGTAATGGGAGCTGCATAACCTACTTGTCTAGTACAACCACCGTGCAGTACCGTGGTTAATTCCCGGTGAATTATCCACAATGGGTCAACCGATGATCCTCATGCTATCTTCCACTGGTGCCCCGCCAGCACGTACCGATAATGCAGGCGGCTGCATAATTTTATAATAAAAAAAAATGAGGTCATGTTCATTGACCATCGCACAGCATCGCAAACATCGTGATGCTATCTCCACCTTTATATTACAAACAAAATGTATGTATATAAGCTAAACAAGTCATTAAACACACATTCTTATAATTTACCATCTTAATTACTGACATGAATTTCTGTTAGACCATTAGGTTTGTGAATTATTCTTCTCTATTAATATTATAAAGAGGAAAGATTTGTTTTATAGTATTTGTTTTTTGTTTTATTTTTGTAATGTATGAACTATAAAGATATAGATTACAATTATAAAAAATACTTTTCTGTTGTTTTCTGTATGGATGATGATGGCATCCTCTTTCGGTAACGGTATACTGCTAGCAAGGTATCGGAGGACGATAGGATGTCTATGAAACAGGTCATTGTGGCAAATTAGTCATTGTTACCTATGTACCATAACAATGCTGTATAGCCCTCACGGATTCTTCAATGAATTGACTGTATTATGAAATATAATTAATGTGTACATGTATTATATATATATAAACCTTCCTCTAGAATCACTCTATCTATTTAAAAAAAAACGCTTCATAATCCGTTGCGCAATTTTAAAGATTTAAGCATAAATAGGGATGGACAGATAGCTACAGCGACTTTATACTAAGTAATGATATTATATTTTTCTGATATTCTTTATTATTAATCTATCCTATTTCTATTTACAGGGTGATTATATATATGTTATATACAAAACTTTGGGTAAAGCCGGGGCAGGCTAGTCATAATTAAAATGAGTGAATGCAAACACGAGAGAAGTAAGGTGCGGGGCGGTAGTGACCAAGGTTATAAGTATGAAAGGCAAAGGGAATCGGACTGTGACTTATTGTTCTCAAATGTAAAAGACTACAAAGAAACATAATAGATTGTGTCTATTTCTATATATATTTATTTATTTAATTATTGGGAATTTAATTATTATGTTTATAGGCGGTAAGTAGAAAAAAGGTTAAATTGCGATTATCTAATAATATTATTTATAAAAAAGAATGATCAATAAAAAATAATAAAAAATTTATTTTATATAACTGGTATGGCAAACAATATGACGGCCTACCTGATGGTAAATGGTAATCGTCTCCAATATATATACATTAATAGCACTGTAGACATCACGTTATCATATCACACCTGCCATACATCTAATGTCTTGTCTTTCCTGAGGGCTAAAACGTCATGCCTCTTATCTTGTAATTTAATGATAATTTATAACGAAATAATATTTTTAATAAAGTATACTACTAGAAAATTTATACGTTTTAATAAATTTATTATTTTTAATAACCTTAATTCCAAAGCTATATTTATTTTAATTATCTTATTTAAATCTACATTCAATGATCATATAGTATAAAACATTGAATATTGATTTAAAAAATGCAAAGTAAATAAGTAGTTTCATTCGACAATAATGAAGTCAGTTATGTATTTATAATTAATTAATTATATTAGTTATGCTTTTGAAGGCTTAATCTTTCTTTTAATTGAGGCCATGTCGAAGCTTGGGACTTAATTTACATAATGAATGAAACGATAGCTGGGACCAGATATACATATATTTTATCTAATCTATTTAGTTAAGATAAATCAGATATAATATTTTATAGATTCTATCTTCCGAATGATGAATGGATAAATGGATTTAGAAAAAATATTATATTTATATATATATATAAAATATTATATATATATATATTCATTAGAGTAGCTAATGACTAGTTCTATTTTCAAATATACCTAGTTGTAATAACATTGTAACATCTATGTAATATCTATTAAAAAAAAAACGAATAATATCTTTTTCTGTAAAACCAATTAAATTTTTTTTAACAATTACATAAAAAGTATTTTATATTCCCGTGTAAATACATGAAATTACTACTGGATAAGTTTCTAAAGATGTTTAGAGATTTGGGCATTATTTATTATTATTCTTATCGTCATTTTCTTCTTTCATGTGAATGGTAAACTGAATATGTTTAAACCAGAACTTAGCAACTTTTATGGCACAGTCATTAGCTTTGTTCAGGTCTTCCTTCATGCAGGATGAGGGATAAAAAGGACTCTAATAAATTCTATAAAATAATAAATAATAAATTTAAATAAATAAGTAGTTAGATAATTTTCTGCTCGAAATGCAATCAGTTTATAGCCTAAATAGTTAAAATTGAACGCTGGACTTGATAACCATGAAAAGGTAGTCATTAATCAATATGGGGAAAAGTGTTATCATATTGATCATGAAAATTTGTTTGTTTAAGAACCTTTTATAAGTTAATTGAAATTAGGAAATATCGATAATGCAAAACAATTCCAATTATGAAAGTAAAACAATGGAATGTTTGAGATTCGTCACGGACGATCGTGTTTTCATCATAAATCTCGTTCGATTCGACAAGGAACGACATATTCTTGGCAGGTTTTTCTTAGTGCCAACATTTTTCACACATATGTGTCACACTAGTGTATAAAACACTAATTAAAATTAGTACGAGTAGGGTATATATTTTTTTAATTTTATTTTAGCCGTAACAATATAAACTGTAAAATGATTTGTTTAAATTCCAATTCATTTCCATTCCATTCAATTCCAATCAACAGTAATAAACCAATTGGTTGAGCTTGGCATACCTCAGTGATTGATTATTTGTTTTATTTGATTATATTGTTATTCCTAATTATCATTATCCTATGAATATGTTATATTCATACATGTTTGTATCAACAATATTTATTTCTCTAAACTATATATAAAAACTTACTGTAAATTCTTAAATTAATATTATAGTTTGAGAATGTTCAATATATTTATAAAAGAATCAATAATAATTATTGATTATATAAATAAGTTTTAATATGATATTAAGGAAATATCTGATGTTGTACGTAGTTGGCCTAGACAGTTAGACAAAAAAATTCAACGGTTTAAATGTTTCCGAGTTCCGACTTAAGATTCTCCACAATTTTCCTTTTAATTTTCCAACAATACCTAGTTATCGGAGGCGTTGACGACATCGCGTATTTTTTCCAAGCACTTTCTCCTTACTCGATGAGTTTCATCTTTCTTGCGTTAGAAAACTGGATGATTGTTATACTTCCGACACACTTATTGGTAAACGTGGGACTATCGTTAAAGGAAATGACAATTCTCTCATTAGAAAAGCGGAAAGCCGAGGTAGTCACTTGGCACCACATTTCTTATAAAACATGTAGTATAAAAGTATAAAAAACATATTTGATAACATGCTACTGTTTTTTGCAGTATTGTTTTTATACTTGATAATTGTTTTCGTTATTTGTATCTGTTAAAAAAGTGATAAATATTTATGTCTGTCGTTATAAATAACCTGTTCAACAATTACGTAAACAAAACGTTTTACACCAATAAACAAGGCTACAATGACTTATTAGTATGACAATTGCCATTGTCTTTGATGTCGTTAAATTTACAGAATACTAGAAGTAAACGTCCGTTCATAATTCTGAATTGTAAAACAACCTGTGTCAATTGTTCTACTTGGTACATGTTCCTTGTCATTGTTTATACGTACACGCCGTGAAGGTTCAATATCCAATAACATTCCCACCGTCACCACGGCCGTTGAAAATCAGAATTTTAATAAACGCGAGCGTACGTGTGTCGTTATACTTTCGAATGCATTTAAAGTTGACCTCTAAAATCAGTACGTGTATAACGCGCTTGTTGACATGAAAACTAGTCGCGAAATTAAAAAGTAAGACAATAACAAGATTTACCTTAGTCGTGCTCTGTATCTGCAGGAAGGTTGCTATGCCGGCTCTCACGCGGTTCTTAACGCCGCGGATCGTCCCCTTTGAACTTTTTATGGTCGATGGCGCTTCCTCGTTTTTGTAATCCTTTATACCAGCGAAGAACTCGACTTCGGTTCCATCGTCACACTCACTTTTTGCACTCACACTAACACTTTTCACTGGTTTAGATTCATCGAACTGTTTCTCGTTTAAGTGGAAATCATAAAACTTGTCCGTATCAAAGTAATGACTGCTGTAACATATTTTTTCTTGTTTCTTCTTATCCTGGTTATTCCTCTCTTCATATGTGCTCTCAGTAATTAATGGAGCCTTATACAGGTTCGTGGTTATTGACTGAATCTCGTCAATTTTTTGTACATTGCCATTAAGCTGTGAAACTAGACGGAACGAAGTAAGTGCACTTTCTTCTGGTGTATTTGCATTTACATTGTTATTCTGGCTCGTGTCCTCTTGCTCGCCCACTTCACTTTCAGTTTCAACGGTATTCAGTTTTACTGTGCGATCTCGTATATCTTGAAGCAAACCTTGCGGTAGAAAGCTATCTTTGTTATTCGATTTGGTGATAAATGACGGCATCATAGGTGCAACAGGTGGTTCTGGCGTCTGTTGTTTTTCTTTTTTACTTATGTATTCGACATGATTTTCCTCAGTATGCACGCTTCCATTTAATTCGCTACTATTGAGAGAATCGCATGATATATTCGAATCGTTATCTTCGAAGTCTACCTCACCTTGGCTGCTACCATTTTTTGAATTGATCACCGTTATGGACACGGCTTTTTTTGTAGTTTTAAGGTTCTTCTTCTTGGGCAACGGCGGTGGCGTTCCGTCCAGATCGCTGCATGTCCCTGAATCAAGTGTATCGCTCGGGGAGCACTGACCGCTCGACATTACCATATTTGTCATAGAGTTTACATACGAATTGCAGTATATGTATGGAGCTCTATCTTTGAGGTCTTCATTATCTAATAATTTCGGCCGCGACTCCTCTACATTGATTCTCACAAGACTGTTATTCTTCCTATCGTTTAATTTATTGAATGTATCGAAATCTATATCGCTTTTTAGATGCACACTTGATATTTTAGGTACTTTCGGTTTGTCTGTGTCCGTGTTGATTCTGATTGTAACGACATGTGGACCGTTGGTTGGTGCGTCCGAGCTAAGTGTATTCGCAGGTCTATCTGGTTGTGGCGCCGCTATGAATACCGTTGAAGGGGTCTTAGAATTAAGGACGAGTGAGTGCATCGAACTTAGAGAGTCTATGGACCGGCCATCTGTAGTACTGTAGCCGTTTATATTCTCATCATTTGTGATTTGTGTTAACGTGGAGCTCTTGTGCTTCATTTTGGGTGGTAGAGGCGGGATGTACTCTACGTTAGGTCGCGATGTCACTTCTTCCATCGTTGCCCTGTGCTAATAACCTGACATAATTAAATGCCCACGAGCTATGCGAGTCAGGTCCGCTTTAGATAGTAGATGTTTTATATGGCATAATGTTTCCGGTGGTCGACCGAGACTGGGTCAATAATCTGCACAGGTGGCTTCTTTGTGGCGTGTGTTTATTTACCTGCAAAGAAAATAATGAAATGTTAAAGTGTTTAATTTTGAGAGCAATGACTTTAACATTGAAAAGAAATTTAGAACATAATTAAATAGAAATTATAAAGATTATTAAATGAAATTAAGAGATTAACTAATTGTATATTTCCTGTCAATATCAATTATATCCAAAGTGAAATTACACTACCGGTTCAATTAAAATACTATTTGTATACTTGATCATACAAAATGTATTATTATTACTGATAAAAAACGACATTCTCTTTGCTCCCATATTTGTTGAATGAAGTTATAAAGACCATATATACACCGGATAACAGCATTGAAATAGTTCGAAAATAAGAGCAGATTAATATGTAAGCATCCTTTTATAAAAGCCTTATAATTAACAAAGTACACAATTAATTTATCATCGAATATGTAGTAAAATATAAAGGAGCAAATCTAAAATATAACCATGATTAGAATACATATATTGTTCACATTAATCTATGTACCTTTTAAACATGTTAAAACACATGTCAAAATATGCAATTCATCTATTAACTTTATTAAAGCCAAACCCGCAGAATACTAATAAATGACTAAAACAAATGTCTAATTATATAATATATATACATAATATGTATATAATATGTGCATTTGCAAACAATTGAACCCGTGACCATTGAAAGAAAAAACGATGTATGAAACCGCTAGGCCATCGAGGATTTAAAATGGATTTAAAATGTAAAAAAATATTCTATAGTCACGCGCCAGTAATATATCTATTTAGTTGTGTTTATGTACGTAAGTACTTATTACTACTATTAGGTAAGAAGTTGCGATACATACTTAGTTGAAATAGATGGTTTACCGTTTGCAACTTCACGATTTTGTTGTAATTGTGTAATATTTATATTTACGTGATGCTTTAAAATATCCACTTACCTACATTTTAATGTCTGCCATAGTTTATCGATTAGATCACGTATTAAATTTACTACGTAGGCTGTAAGTGCGTTTAAGTACATTAATGTGAATTTTATTAACCGATTTCAGAAACCAATATATAGGTTTGTCACTCACGTAGGCATATTAGATGGGAAAAGATAGTTTAATTTTTAAATTGATCACGCGTATGAAATCTCAGGTCAGCTACGAAATTCTTAATCCTTATTTTACCTTTATTCCTCTCAGTAATCGGGGGCAGTTTATATTTTCTCATACATACTTTCCAAGATTTTCGTAATAAAGGGATAAAGTAAACTTTTTGCTTTACCCCATTATTGTGGATTATTAACTAGAGGTCCAACTCTGCATCGCATAGGTTTACAGCGAATGTCGTGCAGATTATAAATGTCTCTTCGACTCCGCGTCGAATGTACGCGTTACTAATAAGTCATGTAGCTCACTACTCAATAAACTTACTAATATAGAATAAACAGTACAATCATTTCACCAATTATATATAACGCTACAGTGATGAGGTGATACCACCGTGCTACATATACATGCATTTACTATACCTACATATAAATATACCAGAAGTAATTCACTAAATAATAGTGAAAACCGTAATAATTTTCGATACGTGGTTTAGAAGTATCAACCTAATCGGAGAAATAGACAGACGAAAGCAGCAACTATGCTTTATGCTATTTCTATATATTTTCTTTAGCTAGATATGTTACCAGCGACTTTTTATGCCTTGTTCTTGAGATAAGATATCCGGGACATGTCACGTCCTTGGGACATAATCTATTTTCATGCCAAATTTCATTAACATATTAATTCTGCTATGAAAAGGGTAGACAGTGACATTTTCGCATTCGTAATACTACGAATATGAATATTTGGTAGTTCGAGTCATGCTAATAGCCTACCAGACGGAAAGTGAAATCCGTCGCTCATAAACCTTGGGCATAGAAAATACTCTACCATACTTGACACTCGTATGCCATTAATCGTATGCACTTAGTACTTAATTATTAAACAACTCTGACAACCATTATTTTATAGCCAATCATTAAGTATGAAATATGTTTCAGTATTTTAGAATTACGATACTTTACTACTATGTATGACAGCGTATAAGACGAATATATGTATAGAGTAATTACATTTATTTAAATTGGCTTTGCCTACTCATGTACAGCTTTGCATTTGCTCTATTAGTTTCGAAGTCTGTATCCTTATTATAAATAAGGTATCGTATTGTACTGCAATTATGTTATATTTTTTACATAACATTTACTGTCTGTTTGTCAGTGAGTTGGTGGGCGTTAATCTTCTTAACTAATTTTCTCAGAGGTATTGTACAAAACTTCCCGTAACGTCTTTCAAACTCAAATTCGAAATCATTTTGTCAACAGGCGAGATATTGATGGAACATTTATTCTTGTTTGTCCAGCTCTACATTAATATAATAAGTATAGTACAAAACTTATATAATTTCAAATGACTTTATAATCCGTAAATAACATTTGTGGCGGTAAACTTAAAGTCCTACCACATGGTGTTTCACGATTGGGTAATGTCATGTAATTTACTACAGTTTTCACGGATAAAATGGCTAGTGGAGTGATTTATGCAATAAATATCGCTTGATTGCGTTATGGTTTTTGACCTATGGTGTTTATCGTTGTGGCGTGAAGATTATATAACATCGGACGTCGAGAACTTTCCATAACTTGAATGTTTTTGAATGGAAATAGACGGACTATTGTCTGTCAAGTGACAAACCTAAATTGTTCGATTATACAATACTTTTTGAGTACTATTCAAAAAGTATAATTAGAATGTAACAGAACACGAAACTGTGTTACGGGTACATAATTTATTATCCTGAAAAATGTAACGAACTTTACTCTGGATAAATTAATTTCAGTCAAGATTTGTAAAATCTAAAACAAGGTTAACTTAAGAGCGTTCGCAATATCACCAGAAGTTGTTAGTCTCACATATTACAGCCGCCAAGCAGCTTGCTTTGTAAGGTGTGTTTCATATCTGACTTTCCGGCGATGGAAATACTGATAACAAAACAAATAAATTCGAAAGAGGGTGGCAAGGGTGTGCTCCGTTGGAATCAAATATTGCAGTCATCACAGTTACAGTCATTACAAATTTTAATACAAATGCAAAACTCAATTTTCACAGTAAATTATTACGGTTATAAATGGCATAACAACGACCGATCTGTTACGCCCGTTCAATTATTAAGAATTCAGTCAACACCATCATTCGACCAATACTGACGCGAAAGCAAGTAAAACACTTTCCCTATTAAAGTGTCGAGACGAATTGAATTTTCTTGTAAATTGTCTGCTCTACATTCGTTGATCTTTTTATAGATTCTTTCTGATTTTGATTGGGTGTGTCTATAATGTGACGATTTGTTTTCTCGTCTCTCAGTCAATATATATTACAGTATAATTCCAAAAAAATGAGATAATCTCGATAAAATTACTATGACACCAATCCTAGAGTCGACTTTTTCTTATAAAAACAATAATTTAAAAGTATTTCATTAATAAAGATTCTAAAACACAGATAAACCATAATATATCGGAGAATATAAGCAACGCCTTTGAATTTGATGGTTAATCTATATATATCTATGAAGTCATATCCTTCATAATCTTAAAGATAGGATTAAGCCCAAAATATCTACATTTATCTTCTACATTTTACACAGAAAGGAAAGAATTATTTTGCATTTAGTTATTCTGGGCTCGAAATATACCTCAAACTGGCGAAAAATTTTACTATATAGAAGTGACTGGAATGTGTTTGGACACGCCAAAAAAAATTATCATATTCAAGGGAAAATTACATTTCAAACCGATTTTAATATTCCAAAAAGTCGATTAATAATAATCGATTTTTATCAACTTGGCCCCAAGCATAATGTTTGTGGAAATTGATTATAGCATATTTTATAAATATATTATTATATTAAAGTGTATATAAATTCGATTTTTATTGTGCAAATTATTGCAATAGCAAACAAAAATAATCATTTTTTTGTACAGAACGTCACAACATCAACATGCAACATTATACAAAGATAAGAACTACATTGGATTATATATACATCATAGTCACTAGCACTAATAAACTGACTTCGATGAGGATGATTTCATTTGTTAATCGGTTGTTGGTTAAATGATTAATATAGTTAATCGGGTGTTAACACGAATAATTATTGTTTATTAATTATGGTAAATAAGTTATTTACCTCTTACGACGTTTCTACTAAATTACACTCGCCGTGGTCACGAGCTGACTCGAGTACAGCGATGTCAATGACGAGAGGTGACAGCAGTTTGCTCAGCTACCGTCACTAAAGAGTGACTGACTTTAAGTTACTAAATTTCAATCTGAGATTAATCAATCAATTCGCTAATTTTTATAACATTTTACGTGTGTTTCTAACAATTAGAGTAATCAATTCTGCAGTGTCGTGATAACAGATCGTAATGACCGGCACACATCTTGATATATGTCGCCTAGTTAATATGGTAATAGATATATCCCGGAGTATTGCGTGCCCACTCCCTTGAGACATAACGAGCATATGTAGCAATAAATCAAAATTTCTCTACAAGTTTCACTTTACTAACATAAATGTACGATGTACATCGTGGGAAACTGTGTCATAAGATAGGAATATTAAGATTTTTTATACCGCAACAACTTTTACAGGTTATACCAGTACAGTGTCTTTTTTTAATGGATGATAATGGAATGCAGTGGAACCTACGCTAAAGGTTTACACTTACGAGGTACCAGTGGAGAATGATGAGATGAGCCTGATATCTCGTCAATAAGCTCATCATGACATTTTCACTAGAAATAGAGCATTAGTATCGAGATTTCCAAGGAAAACTCCGGGAAGATGACTCCCTATAATTTTACTGAGATAGGGATCTCACCCATCTGCAGAAACACCTTATAAAGCAAATTGCTAGGTAGTAGAATTAGCTGAGGTTTCTAAAAATAGGCCTAGTTCTACTACAACTAATA